GTATCGTGAATTACGTTTTCGAGAGTATTGAAGTCACGGAAGGTAGTCAGTTTGTCCACCTTTAGTTCAGAAAATGGGTGCAGATTTTCGCAGAACCTGCTCCTTACATAGGCGTGATCTGTCTTTGTGAAGAGCAGATGTAGACACCAGTGACTGTGCCGAATCTTTCGCCGTGAAATAGAAGCTTAATAATTATGAGACAATCACTGATTCGCTGCAGGAGGCAGTATAGTTGTCTTGCGATGTCGTTCTTGATAGCAAAAGCGACTCCAGCGTCTCGTCCCCCTTCAAAGTTAAGTTCCAGAATAAGATGGATTCCGCACCTTTTTCTTCCAATTGCCCCTGTTCGGCAAATTGAGTCTCACTGAGAGCCGTAGCGCACACGTTGTATCGTGCCAGCTCTCCGGTGGTGAGAGCTGTCAGCCTTTCTAACCGGCTGCTCATCGGGTTGTCTAAAAATAAACGAAGTCTGGCAGGTGAGGGCGGGGAGCAACAAGATGGGGACGAGGGTTGTTGTTTCGTGCAGTTTTTCGACGGCAGGCTTGATGTCCACAAGCCACGGAGGGATTGCTGCGTGTGACTGTGAATATTTTATAGTCCAAGGATAGTAAGCGCCGCTGCTTGATCATCCTAGGCGGCTGTCAAACTCTCAGTGACAGGTCATCAACTCGGCAAAGTAGGAAACAGACCAGGATTAGTTAAGCCGCCTGTAGGATTGTATGCCGCTCTCGGCGAAGATATTTTGATTAAGGGAAAGAAGACTAGTGATGGTATTAGCGGGTTTGAGACACACGCCGGGCACCTTCATCCACTTTAACCCGAGTTCGAGAAGGGCTACCGGAATACGGTCGTGTGGAACGCATTTTCTCGGATCCACTGATGAGGGCTGGTAGCCAGGGAGGGACAATGTGGAGTTATCCGCCAGGTTTGCCGATACAATCGGTGGGAACTGCCATTGCACCATTTTGGAATGGCCTACTAAACGCGTCGCACAGTCCTGAGCGACTGCAGCACTGCAGCCTGCGTCCCTGTCCCCGGCGCCCTTTGCACGCCCGACGAGACACTTCAGATCGCTGCAACAGAGGCCACGTTTACAACCTCACCGGGGAACACACCAGTATCCACTACGTACACTTTCGCCTGGGGCGGATAAGCCACAAAATTATTAGTTTTGCACAGACGAATAATTAAACCTTAAAAGCGAATCCGCAACATCAACTGTTTTTCTTTTGCTTGTTTTCAGTTTATTGTGTCTCGGTAACACCGGGCGCGAGGCAAAAGTACGAGTTGCTTTCACCTCTATAATGCTAATCGCCCCGTCCTTGCTGGTCCACTCCTGACGTCGTCGTATTGACCCAATGATCGTCATGAAAAAGCCTTGAACTGCGTCCCTCAAAGCATACCACTCCTCCCAATTTTTTAAAAATATCCAAAATTACCGATTATTAATATGCTGTTCGGACTGCAAAGAAGACAGCATCGGCATCCTCCTGGTCCAATTATAAGAGTAGCGACTTCTCTTGTGTCCAGTACCGGGAGCAGCTCATTGATTGAATCTCTACAAGCGGTGGTCGGCTCTTCATTCTGTATATTTTACGAACGGGTTCTCCCGCATAGTCGGGCGACTTTCGGTGATTCCATTTCCTGCGGCCAGGAATGCGGACGACGGTGACCGTGTCTGCTGCAGACGTACTGACCAAGATCCTCCAGCTTGTGAACTGAATTCGCCCACCATGAAGAGCTTCTTCGTTCTTCAGCATAGGCACAATGAGAGAATGGTTCTCCCAGTAGACCAGTCGTCGTAAGCAACGAGATCCATCGCTGTCCCAGGATGTGGGCGCATCCGTGGCCTGTGTTCGAATTTAATTAGAGATAAACAAACTTGCGCACCGTCTACCTCACCCTCTTTCCATGTCTACAGTATTCGAGCGGTAAAATGACCGAAAATGGGCGTTGGCACAGTGAACCAAAAAGTTAAACGTTCCGTCTGGATGTGCCTGGCTCATAACTTTACCCGTACCATGCCACATTCAGGTGTCTCGGACCTCACACGAGTATGAGTTACTGGAGAGGATGTTTTGAGAGGGCATATTGGCAGTCTGACTCTAGGACCGTGGTATTGCGTCAGCCTGCTGCCTCCCGAGTCACGACTGTTGGCGTACTGTGGTAGAGTCAAGAGTGTCATATTTAGCATGGTGAGCATTGCCATTAGGAAGGCTGCTTCAGGATCGGTCACTGCTCTATCCTATCCCATGCACTAGCGATGGTTCGCCAAAACCTAAGGGGAAGCAAGAGGCTTCATAAACCGTTCTTTCTGCGAATCAGACAGCATTTAGGCACTACTTTTCAGCATAACAGTCATTTCAGAATCAAACCTAATAGAAACGATGGGGGTGGGGGCCATTTCATCTATTACAAAGAATCAGACTTTGTCGAATTTAGAGAGATCCACAGCGGCTTACCAGTTTCTGGATACACATTCCAGATACCCGGAGGTGTCACGACCACCAATAGAAAGAAGAAGGCATTGCTCATGCATGTTTTAGTCGAATTCAGACATGAGTAATCTAAAGCGGGTAGTTAGCTGAAGCCCGTTATTTAAATGAGAAGCGTTCAGAGCAGGTCTTCAGCCTTTCCTGACATCAATACTCTGTTCATTGACAGTGATGCTTAGACACCCAGACGGCTGCAGACTTCTACGGGTGTCTGCCAGCAGAAAACCCAGACGGCCTCAACTACCTGGACTCCCGGCGACTTTACTCCTACAGCCTAACTGCTCACCCGTCAATAAAGAAATGGAAGTAGTCGTGCTGGTTTGGTTCTTTCTGGGCTGGCTGGGGCGATGATGATTGGATGCATCTAAGAAAAGTAGTGCGATGCTGGTCCGAACCTCCCGCCGCTGTTTCCGTCGGGCAAATAATCTCAAGATTTGAAAATCATCTGTGACACACTACAAGCTACTCGTACTCCATGGCAAAGTTGGCTCACTGTCAAAGTTGACTTTTGAAATCTTTACAGGCCGTAACATGACCGGTAGTTGCCCAGTCACGGCAGCAGTCCTGTATGACTTCCGACCGATTATTCTCGAACCCTATCTAGCTCGGGCCCAATGTCCAAGTCGTGTCGGACTGTCTGCAGCGAGGCTGACGAGCATGGCCTCACCTTCCAATGTCGCCCATTCGAGTTAAGGGTTTGAAGCACGGAATCGGATGAGAACCAACTTACTAGCTAGTGTCTAATGAGCCCCTGACCTGCGCGACTGGCTACGTAGGACAACTACGGATTGATTGGCGATGTCAAAGTCCAGCTCGGGTTCTGTTACCTACTTTTTGTGGTACGCCAGAACACCCTAGGCCGCCTCTCAGTCGTACGTATACCATCGTTTCAACACCAATTTAAAGTGGAGCCAGTTCAAGGGGCTAACGCACGCCCGAAAAGTCAGACCTCCCTTGAGTAGGACTTCAACGCGGCTCCGACAGTGTCGCCAGACACCTTGAGGCGGCATTAAAGTCTCAAACTTTACGAGATCTCCACATAAGCGACATCGACGGGGGATTGGCCTGTGAACGTTAGTGGTTACCATTTGAAGTTTTCCGCTAAACATAACTGACTAGTGTGTAAGCTCAGGAAATAAATCTCCATCTGGACGGCCGAACAGTTTTCTGCATTGCCATACCATTGGTATTATAGTCCGAGTCTCTAAATCATTTCTACATACTAATTCTTGCAAGCAGACGATGTCAGTGACGTAAACCGAGTTCAACACGGTCTAACAAGTACTTATTCACTCACACAGCACAAGGGTTGAGGCAAACATGGACTCCTCTCGTTATCGATGGATGCTAATCCCCATAACTGATAGACATCCTATTGGCGAAGTCCGGATACGTGCATTCCTGTGGATGCAGTAACACCAGTCATTATGCATGGGTAGTTTACACGCGTGGGCCTATAAAAACAACACAAGCAAGATAACAAGTGCCGTACAAGGTCAGGGCCACGGAAATTGTCAGTAAGGGTGTAATGACGAACCAAACCATTTCCTCCCCCCGATTGTAAGCAAAGATGGTGTTTAAAAAGAAGACACGGGATGGTTGCTTACTCGACCATCGCCCATCGAACTCGAACAGCAGCCATTGTACGGTTCACGGCAGGCCACTTGTGGAGTTTCTGTGTACACTATGCAGACATCAGCTGTCATATGAATGCTCCTATGGAACTAACTAGTTGCTGGATAGTGTTTTTCGTGAAGACGAAAGTACACCTGACGCGGCGGCAAAATGTGTAGGCAGAAACTCTGGGAAACTTCATCCAGCAGCCGCTGTGCGGACAATAATGAAGCCTTCCCGGAGGCCCGTCCAGCGTTATCCAAAAAGTATGCTAGCGCTGAATACACATGACAGAAACTAGGTCAAGACGGCCACATCTAGGAACACGGTACGGCCTGAAACCAACCAACGTAGTGTGTCCATGCGCATGGGGAAGTTAGTTGCTGAAAATCCCCTGTCGCGTACTCTTTCTTTATCCCATACCTGCCAGACTGGCACAATTATCAGCTCGGTCATAAGTTTAACAAACAACTGCATTACCCCAGAGTTTTGTTAGCCAAACGGTCCTTCGGACGCACTAATCGAGCTTCCACAGAACTAGAACGCTCCTTGTATCAGGTCGCATAAATAGCACAACACGGGAAAAGGACTTCATAATGCAGAGAGCAAGGTCCGAAACGCAGAACCTAACCTGGTATCCCGACAGAACAGTCTTTTGGAGTTGACTGCTTTACGGAGTTTAGATGTCCAAATAAACGTGACAATAAAATCCTTGCAACCAAAAAACCCGTCGACGGAGGTCGACACGCGAGTTGGAAAAAGAGGTAGAATCGAGTAAATAATAGTATTTGTGGAGACATGATTTTTGAGTTAACTTGGCAAGTCAGCCAACAAATGCAGCAAAAACTATGAAAGGATCCACCAGAAAGAACGTTAAATTCGACAACCTTGGCGACCTAGCTGACCTTACCGATTCCAAATAGGCTCGTTCGGTATAATTAGGCAAAAAGCCGTTCTATTGAGAACTGAGGCATAAGGCAATACAAGCTCATAAGAATTTTTTAATAAAAATGCAGGCTTTGTACAATAGCTCATGCCTATCTTCAACGTCGGAAGGCTGGAGCTGGCGGCGCACCCCGCGCACCACGCAATGGTCGAGCTCTTCCTCTAACTAAAAAGTACCAACGAGTTAACAACTAAAGAGTGGCTTACCTCCGGCCCTGACGATAACGTTCTTGCCGCGTCCAGTGCCAAGACCACGTGCACCAAGAGGGCGTTTGAGCATTGGTGAGTTTTTAAGCATATCTGGCAAAATTAAAAACCTATGGTCTCGTATCAATCGGCAGCTGATGCACAAACCTGATTTTGCTCCCCCGAATGTAAACGTGCTGGAGGCTGGATGTCTTGCCGTCCCTGGCGGTCATTATAATATCTTGCATATGAACGTTCATATTGTCCTCAGCTTCGATCAGCTTCCCTCGGAATATCTCCCCGTTTATTGTCTCCAACGTAATCACGTGCCCTTCGGCATCGTGCAAAACCTTGATGGGAACGCCGACCGACGTCATTGTGAAACGAAAATTCGAAGGCGCGCCCGCACTCCCACCTTCGGAGAACAAATAGAGTCGAATCTGAGCGTGTGTTTATTTAAATATTAACATTTACACATCTTTCTCTCACTCAGTTTTGCAGCTCCAAAGTATAAATTGGGATTCAATGATGTTTTATTTGGTAGTATGAGAGGGTTTGTGAGAACCCTCAGTACCACAGATGTTATACCCTGTTTGAATTCGACACGATTGGCTGCGGTTAGAAGGCTTAGGGGTATTTTTCACCTAGATAACAGCGCTTTTAGTATAACATATGCGCACGCGGATTCGACTAGGGACAATTCATGGTCAACGTTTTCGCTGAGACAGATTCTGGGTCGACAACTACGAACTACAGTCTGAACAGGCTCTTTAGGCTAATTTTCAAAAAAAAACCATTGACGGCTTGCGTTCACAGCTTAAGACAATATTTGTTAATGGTAGATCTTTGGCCGTTACTCGCCCTTATTCACGGAACTGAACTGTTAGATACGCATTCTAACAGCTACCTAATATTTGAGCAATTTTTAATTTCTTTTCCAGACTCAAATCTACAATTTTGTGCGCAGACTCAGAGATGGCATCGACGTCCTTTACCATATCCGCAAGCGTATGTTCGACTTACTGGGACGCTTTTATTTCAGTATAATTCAGTATATGTGAGGGATATAGCCAGAGCCTTCGAAAACCCTATTTACAGATAGGCGTATGAAAAAAAACATGCAGATATTTACATAACAGTTATGCCAGCCATTGATATCATTTAAATGGTTGATCATCAAGCATAAATTTATCTAGTCTTCTTTTGAAAGTCTCGACATTTTCCGCTAAGACAACGGAGTTCGGCAATTTGTTCCATCCCTCAACCAGCCGGTGAGAGAAGAATTTGGCCCGCAAATCGAGTCTGGCACGTTTCGTCTTCAATTTGTATTGGTGCCCTCAGAGCTTTGTCGTCCGCGCCAGTTCGAGGAAATCGTTAAACTGAAGAGCACAGTCTAGTCCTCGGACGATCCTGAAGGCCATGATCATGTCCCCTCTGTACTGTCTATAAGGGAGAGGAAATATTTTTAGCTTCTCCAGCCGTCTCTCATAAGGTAAGCTACTTAATCCGCCGGCTAGTTTGGTCGCTCTTCGTTGTAAGTTCTCCAGTAGGGGGATAACTTTTCTCGTCCAAGGACACCGTGCCTGGACACAATATTCCAACATTGGTCGAACGTATGCGCCAAATACTCGGCCGAAAAGTTCTTCATCAAAATTGACGAAAGATCTTCTAATCGCGCCTAGGGTACCCATAGCTTTCTTTGATACCTTGGCGCAGTGAGACGATGGTTTGCGAGTTGACGTCATCCACACACCGAGGTCTCTTAACTCGTTAACTGATTCGAGTTGGTGACCTCCTATAAAGTACTGAGATCCAAATCTCAACGGCCTCCTGTTGCTCGAACGTAATCGGATAAGTTGGCATTTGTTACGATTGAGGCTAAGGCACCACTCATCACACCATTGCTGGAAGCGATTCAAATTGTCTCGTAATTGTACAGAGTCTTCCGGCTTCTTTATTGATTTCTACAACTTGAGATCATCGGCAAACATTACTCGCTCGCAGTTTAGACAGTCCAGGCAGTCTTTTACATATATAAGGAACAGAATTGGACCCAGAACGCTTCCCTGCGGAACACCGCTGTGCACGGATGCCCATTCCGATTTAGCGTTTCCAATACACACACGCTGAGATCTGCCCGTAGGAAGATCGGTTAGCCATTTCAAAAGATTTTCATTCACACCCACTTGACGTAGTTTACATATAAGTCGTCTGTGTGGAACACTGTCAAAAGCCTTTTTGAAGTTAATGTACACGGCGTCGACTAATAAACTCATGTCGATTGATTTCGTCTAGCGTTCCATGGATACTAGGAGGTTAGTGAGACAGGGTCGACCCCTTCGAAATCCATGCTGATGTAAACTGAGCAAGTTGTTTTCTTCGAGGTGCCGCATCAGCTCCGTTTTTATTACTCTTTCCATCAACTTGCAACAGATGCTAGTGAGACTCATTGGTCTGAAAGTATTTGGGGCTGTTCTCTCGCCACCTTTATATATGGGCTTATATTTGCTTTCTTCCAGTCGGTAAGCAAAGCCCCGGTCTCAATCGAAATTCTGAAGATCCTGGATAACGGAGAGGCCAGTTGGTTTGAGGGTTCATTCAGGACTTTTGCGAACACGTCGTCCGGACCAGGGGATTTAGTGGGCCGTAGTTGCCTCAGAGTTTTCCTTACCGTGTCTGTTGTGAAGTCCACCGTGCTAATTGTCCTGTCTGTTTTGACAATTGGGAGGTAACCTCTTTCATCAAAAGCCGGCTGCTCGGTATACACAGACGTGAAGAAGTCGGATAGCAGATTCGCCTTATCTGAGTTGTCAGACAGCGTATTGCTTTGGCGATCTTTTAGGCAGGGAATGCAGCCCCGGTTGCGTTTTGTCTTATTCACGTGTCCAAATAATTTTTTTGAATTTTACGGGATATTGTTTAAAAGTTTTGACTCAACTTGTGCCCGTTCCCTCCTCAACAGATTCCGACATGCATTGCTCTGTTTTTTGAAGTCGACGAAATGCTCTGGTTGCTGACATCTGGCGTACTTTTTCCAAAGTCTCCTTTTCAATTTAAGGTTCTTCTTTATTTCTGACGTCACCCACCCTGGTCGGGAAGTGCGCAGCTTCCTCTTCTGTGGGCAACAGCTCTATACCAAGTGTTGCATTATGTTCTTGAAGAAAAACCAATCGCTTTCTGGGTCAGGCCCTTGTGCTGCATTCCAGTTCACCTTCTGTAACAGGTTTTTCATTCGGGTATAATTCTCCTTCCATACGTTTCTTTCCTCAGCAGCTCGAATTTCGGGTACTGAAAAATGACTATACTCCCAAACCAGAACGTAGTGGTCACTTCGGCCAAGGGGCGGGTGCGATTCCAATCCGAGAATGCAACTATCATCCCTGGTGATGATGAGGTCCAAACAACTGGACTGCTGTCCACCCCTGAATCGAGTGTTCACTTTAACGTGTCGGGTAAGGAACTCAGTTGTGATCAGTTGCATAAATTTCTGTTCGAAGGAGTTTTCTGATCGCGTGCAACACATCAAATCCCACTCTTTGTCTGGACAGTTGAAGTCACCAAGTAGCATTATGTGTTTGCTTCGACAAATTTCTTTTATCTCGGTGATAAGTGCATCGTCCGCATCCGTCCGCTGGCTTGGCGGTCTGTAAACCAGGGCCATATGGAGGCTTGGATGGTTTGGCAACTTCAAGTAACAACTGAGTATTTCACAATCAATGTGTCGAAATGGGGAAGACTCAACCCTGACGTAGTTGATGCCATCTCGTATAAATATCGCAATCCCCCCACCCCTTCGTTCGTTTCGGTCCATTCGGAGAATCTGGAAACCATCTAGCACAACTTCCGCGTCTTCTATCTGCGAATTTAACCATGTTTCGGTTAAAGCTATTAAGTCGGGTTGGAAATGGGCCACAGTGAGTTTTATTTCATCCAATTTGTTGAATAAGCTCTGCACATTTGTGTACATGATTTTTATGTAATTCGGCCGTTTACATCTCTGGAAATTGTTCGCTGGTGGTTTTGACTGATAGTTATAACTGCATATTTCACCAGGCGTACCAAGTCCACTAGTCGATTTAGAATTTAGTGGAAGTTGCCGGAACTGAGCGCCGATTCTTTTACCGTCAATGTCACCGGATGATTCCAAAAGAAGGAACGCTCTATTTTTACAATTCGGTTGTTTGCTATTTTCAGATTCACTTCGCCCTCGCTCTGACGTTTTCTCAGTTCCGCTACCAGCGTCCTCATTTTTATTCGTTCGATTGAGTGATGGTCCGGCTGAAAAAACACTCCACGATGGTTGTTTCGAAGCCTGGACTTTCGCGTTAAGATGAGATTTACTTGCTGTTCGTTTCCCAATACGACTTTTAGTAGTCTCGGCCGCACTTTGTCTGCGTTACTTCTTACTAAAGGTCCCAAACGGAAGATCTTTGGATTTCGACGACCTCACCGGGTTCTTGCGTGTCATTAAGCAGGTTTTGGAATGTCAGCAGATCGTGTTTCACCCTCTCTTTCGGGGTGTCACCAGGTGCTTCAGGAACTCCTTGCACTACCACACAACGTGATCTCTCGGGAAAAAACTGGTTGTACCCTGCCCTCTTTTGTTGGCGGTAGATTTAGTCTCAGACTCTGGGACTGCCTTTATGGCTGTATCCAGATCAGTTGATAAGTTGGTCGCGTCCGTGATATATGCTGTAACGTCTCTATTTGACAGCCTCACCTGACCTTTTGTATTATAGCTTGATACACATGTGAAGGGCAAGCTGCCAGCGCTCTTTATTGGCGTACGTATGTCCATATGATTACTTTCTACAGTTTTTTGGGGTTGTCGATCGTTGTTTTGTTTTGGTGCCGACGGACTCTGCATGATCCGGATTTGTCAAATTTATGGAAATGCGAGAACCAGGTTCATCTCTGTCTGTCTTATTTTTATTGCCCTCCATTTCGGTTGAGTCCGAAGACTTGTCTAGTGACTTCGTGCGTTGCCTCTTGTTTCGCTGAACGCGACGACTATAACCTTTTGCCGGTTTCCTGAAGTTCATGTGGTCCGGCTCATTGACGCTTTTCATGTCCTTTGTATCATGTTCAGGGGGTTGAATTTTGTTATACTTAAGAAGTGACGCTATTATTTCAGTGAGGAGGTCGAAGTCTACTTCTAGTTTCAAAAGTCTGGTGGTGAGTTCTCGACATCCATCACAGCGTGTCGACATATCAGTATCTAGCTTATTTTTGGCTGACATCAGCAGTGAAATGCGTTCCTCAAGGTCGTTGGTCGGTGGCCCATCACGTCCAGCTGAGAGCGAGTTGAGTATTTCCGGTAAACGCTTATCACAGGAAACAGAAAACGGTTTACAAATAAGTGATAAGTCACTTTTTG